GATACAAGTATTTAAGTAAATGCTCTGTTTATGATAAACAGTATTAAATAACATTTACCGGCCTGAATGTCCGAGAAATTTTCATAGAAAATATTCGTTCTTTGACAGGATTCGAACCTGCATTTACGCTGACGTGCCTTACCGTTCGGCTACAAAGAATCGTTCGGTAGACAAGGTCGAATTTACGGCTTAGAAACTTCAATCTTCCATGAATCTCGGACATTCATAACTGCTCTGGCGTATCAAATGTAAACAAATGACGTCATATATTAAGAAATGGACAAGGTCCGACAATTTATCATAAATAAATTTTTTCCCTTTCACATAAATAAAATAAATAAATTGTCGGACCTTGTCTACCGAACGATTCTTTGTAGCCGAACGGTAAGGCACGTCAGCGTAAATGATGGTTCCGTATAGGATGCAGGTTCGAATCCTGTCAAAGAACGAATATTTTCTATGAAAATTTCTTGGACATTCAGGATGGTAAATATTATTTAATACTGTTTATCATAAACAGAGCATTTACTTAAATACTTGTATCTATATAAAAAAACAACGTTAAACATAAAAATGTCTTTAATAAATAAATTGTCGGACCTTGTCCATTTCTTAATATATATGTATATGAATTTATATATATATATATATATATAAATTTAAATATATACATATTTAAACACACTCACGCACCCCATATTTATATATATAAATTTAAATATATATATATATATTTAAAAACACACGCACATGCACCTCCATATATATATATATATAAATTTAAATATATATATATTTAAAAACACACACGAACATGCACCCCCCATATATATATATATATATATATATATATATATATATATATATATAATATATAAATAAATATGTCCCAAAAGCTTTTACCGCTTCATTCATAAAAAGATATGTGCGAATAGTGTGGCTGTTTCTTCTAAGAACTGAGTTGCTTGACCCTCATACATCGGAAACGACGGAAGAGGTTCATATATATATATATATAGCTTTCATTAAATACGGCTGACAAGGAAGATTTAATTTTTTTTTTAAGATTTTTCAGCATCCTTACGTTTTTCCGTTTTGTACGAGTCAGGGAGTAAAAGAAATTTCCGTAATTTTTTTTTTCATTGCCCCAATCTCTTTTTTTAGGTAAAAACCTTTGTACTTATTTACTACTACAAAACGGAAAGAACGTAAGGATGCTGGAAAACTTAATAAAAATTTTATTAAACCATCCTTGTCGATCGTATTTAATAAAAGAGGTTTGAAACAAAGTTTGGTGCCCAAATATACATTATATATACATTAATATACATTATATATACATACAGAAATATAGTTTTAAAGTGTGTTATGTTTATGTAATAAAGTGTTTCAATATCGGAGGCAGAGCGTATATAAATATAAATATAAAAGTCAACATTTAAGTCAACACTCAGAGGGGAAGACAGGCTGTTTCATGCTAGACGCAACAGTCAGGACGACGATTGCGTCTGGCATGAAACAGCCAGTCGCCTCTGAGTGTTGACTTCAATGTTCATCATATATATATATATATATATATATATATATATATATATATATATATATATATATATATAGATAACTAGACTCGTTTCGAAAAACCCTCAATTTTTGATTTGCTAATCAAATCAATCTCTAGGGAAAAAAAGGTTTTAAAAAAAAAAAGAGCTACAAACATGAACTTCTGCCGACAAAAAAAATCGCACAGATGCAGGTCTGAAGCCCAAAGAAAAACCCCGATACGAGTAACAACTAACTAACAAAAGTGCTCAATACAACCGTAGAGCAGACCTAGATACACCTAGTGAGCCAGACAAACCTACCTAGGTTTCACTAAACGGATCGTCAGGGAAAGTTTGGCTGACCAAACTTTCCCTGACGATCCGTTTAGTGAAACCTAGGCAGGTTTGTCTGGCTCACTAGGTGTATCTATATATATATATATATATATATATATATATATATATATATATATATATGTGTGTGTGTGTGTGTGTGTGTGTGGGTGTATTCATGATTGAAAAGTAACTCTCCATTTTAAAATACTAAAATTAATTATGCATAATTTTTACAAGAAATGGATACGAAAGGAAAGCGTTTAGCATAAGGTTTTATTTAAAATTCAATATGGGCACCTGATTTCGCTACCAGTTTTTCGAGCCGCCCAGGAATCTCATCAATTGGGACTCTTGTGGTATGGAAGGCATAACTTCTTGTATTCGCCCTTCAAATTCTTTGAAAGTCTTGTTTGTTTATAGTAGACTTGTTCCTTTAACCAAACCCAATGAAAAAAGGTACAGGGTGTTAAGTCAGGTCTAGGTGTATAAACTCATACATAAAATAGGCATTTACCTTTCAATCAAACTCTCTCTATATGTGTCTGTATTAATGTGTGAGAGAGCGAGCGTAAAATATGTGTGTGGGTGTATATGTGTAAAATGGAATAATAAGAAAATAGCCAGACATTCTTCTTTCTAGAGGTCAGTATTTTCATAGTAAGTATTTACTTCTGACACGGAAATAAAATGATGAATGCTTAGCAGAAAGAATCTTAATTGTAGTGGCCGCGTGTCAATAATCAGACTATCTGCTGCACTTGTGAATTCAGTTAATATCAAATTCGGGTCTTTTTTGCATGTCAAACTTTAAGCCAAAGTTCAGGATATTTGTTTCGCAAGCACAAAATACATATTACTACTTCTTTATATCACGACTAATAGCGTCACGAGATCATTTCACAAGTTGCACTGACGATAGATAATCTCATGTACTTTGTGTGTATTTTAAGTGCGATTTTACAAATGTAAATTTCCATGCGGAAGCTTTCGTAATTATATTCCCCTTGTACACATAACATGCACATAAAATGAATCAAATAAAACGATGCATTGGAAATCACAACTCAGTGGGTTTTTTTTGATAGTTCAACATTGTCTGCTTTAAAAAAAATGTCTACACAACATCAGTAATTGTTATTTATTGGCTACATTTTCACACGAATTATTTAAACGTGTCTTATTTTATGAGCATTTCTGATGATCCAGTGATGCGCATGAATGAATAAAGTGTAATTTTATGAACAACCTCAAATTGTCTTAATTTTTTGTTTTTTACGATTTTACTGGATATTTTTTCTTTACTGTTACTTTACTAGTATTTTCACACTGCTTAAAATGATTTAAAATTTCCAAATGAAATAACTGGGGCTTGACTTAGAATTTGTAATCAAATATTCTTCTGAATTGCATTGAACGCATTTATATCTATCGTATTTGGGAAAGATTTTATAAATACATGAACGAGAGAATCGCAAGTGTCAATGCAGGTGACAAAACTAGTTAAACAAAACTAAAAGCTGACACAGGTAACTTTAGAAATCACCTAAAGAAACGGTAGCGTTTATCTTGTGGTCAGAACAGAATGTTACTGACAGACAGCATGTATAGTGTAAGAACCTAAAGTAAAAAGATAATTATTTCTTTCATTTTTTTTTTTTTACGATTATGTTCACCCTTTATAAAGCTAAAGAGTAACTCGAGGTAGAGCGTTACAGAATAAGATTGATTCGTTTTTTACGGCTTATCAACACATTGCATGTTCAATAATACATTTCAGATGCATCAAGGGTGGTCTTCAGTGATGCACTGTTTTCATCGCCGATTTCGGGTTTTGCATGATGTTGCCTCAAACAGCAACCTGATTCCAAAAGAGTCAGGCCGCCTCCTTGATAGCGTCGTGCTACGCACCTCGACATTGTAAAAAAAATAATCAGATATCCCACCGTTCTTATTGACATACGCCAGTCAACATCAGCCAATGAAATAAAGGCTTTTCACCCTTCCTTCCTATATAGTCTTGTCTTTTGCTTCATCTGGTTTTGATTCGCACTATTTCCCCGGAATTCATAACGAGGTCAGCTGAACTAGTTCTTGCATAGTTTGATCCAATATGTTTACATTTTAAAAACTAATCCCATAATTCGATAACTAAACCTTACTTACTACTTATATTAGTGTTTCTAAAAAATAAATTCATTATTCTTACTATTATATAAAAATCTTTAAGCCTAACGTTATACTCTTAAACAAACGAAATGAGAAAAATGTATGCACGTTCATATAAATGTACTAAATATACTCAAACACACAGGCATGCACGGACATACACACATAAATCCTGTCTCCCATTTACATTAATTTTACGAAACCGTTTATTACAAAATTATCACGTACATTTCATTTGAAATTCCTTACCAATTTTGTAATGTATTGATTAGAATAATACGATAGCCTTATCTAAGTAAGGAAAAATAAAACTAAATAACTAAAAAATCCTAAATACATAAAGGAAACCTAAACTACTCTATTAAAAAATATATTCATATTTACTGTTATTTAAAGCCAGAAAATATTTTTAGCTTGTAATAATTATTTTTGTTTTGATAATAATGATTTGGTGATATCACTTACTAATTAACCCGAAAGATTGGGGAGAAGATCTTCATTGATACCTAATCAGAATTTGATAAACAAACAAATTATTATTTGGTGTAAATTTGGGGATCAATTATATATTACAATAGATACATAAACTGATCTCCCACTTTGTGGCCACGGTAGTTACTATACATTTCTATTCCAGGGAATGTAAATATATCTAAAAGACTTACCTGTGCAGCTAATCGGTATTTCAGTGATTGATTCATTTTCTACGGTTTATCAAATCTTTGTAGGTTATTTAAAGCCAGAAAATATGTTCAGCTGTAAAGATTTTTATGAGGAGATAATTTAGTCTTAAAAGTCTTACTAATTAACCCATATTTGTGGGGAGAAGAGAAGATTCATATCTTTCACAAGTGTATTTGCTCGTAAATGAATATAACGTACACAACAAGAATTAGAACTCAGGTCTCTTATTATAAATTGCGAGCTATTATACATTACACCACCCGCACATCCAAGCTTACAGCAACTGGTATCCCCAAGCGGTCACCCATCTAGGTACTGATCAGGCTCGACAATGCTTAACTTCGCTGATCGTACGGAAACTGGTTTCAACTTGATATGGCCGGAAGCTAAAGAAGAAGATGACTGGGAACAGTTTATGAAGATATGCGGAGAAGATAATAGTTAACACTAGATTTGAATATGCAAAAATTGTAGTGATCAGAGAAGCATCCTCTTGGGAGTCAGTTTTAGATTTCAAATCAATATATAAGACATGTAAGTTAATCTATATTGTACTTGAGCTGGGATAAGAAAACTTAGAATGTTTCAAATATATGTTCTTTTTGGCTTATTATTTGGCTTCATTATATTTTGTATATTATTGAACAAATATCATTATAAATTCTTAAATACCCGAATTCCTCAATGTTATATATGAAGTGCGTGTAAATGACGTCAGAGTGATATACACGAAATATCTGTAAAAAGGATAATTTTTATAGCATACTTGGTTTAAAAAAATCTACAACATAAAAAAAGAAATTTTTTTTTATCTCGTTTCTTCGTAATTCTACAGCAAAAACAGTGACTACAAGATGAAACCTTATTATTACATTTAAAATCATCATAACCATATCCACATCTGGCAGGCATTGCAAAATAGCTCAATGCATATCTAGGCCCAAACATTCTTAGTATTTATCCTTTCAGCAAGTTGGTTTTAGAGTTATAGTAACGTCTTTAAACAATCTTGTAGGGCAGTCAATTCTTTTACAAATCATTTCTGTTCAATCGCCGACGATAGTAATTTGTGATGAGGATAGACCTCCACACACCGTCAGCACTGTTCATTACATTCTACATTTATATTATTAAGCCTCTGAGGTGGCGAAGGTGATGGTGATTGTTTTTGCAATAACAGGCCCAAATTAAATCTACATTTGCCTCAGAAGACAATTAATTGAATAGATGTTTGTTAATGACTGTCGATTAAATAGGTAAATTAACTTGGCGAATAATGTTTGCCAGCGTATGTAAGAAACTCATAGACAAACAAAACAGATATATATATATATATACTTTATTTTCTTGTGGAGAGAAATTACTCTCCGGTGTAAAATTCAGAAAGATGCAAAACGAAAAAATAGATAAAAAACGGAAAAGAGATAATTACAAATAAAAATTACAAATAAAAAGTTACAAATACTTCTGTCAAGAAGAAGAGCGTTTTCCATATTTATTGTTCCCATGTTATAATTTCAATTGGTTTCATTGCAAAGACTAAAAAAAAACAAAAAAAAAAAAACAGCATACAGTGATAAAATAATACTAACTGAACTTTATCTGTTTAAGTAAATAATTTCCAGAATTGGGGAACAGCGTTTTTATTGAAGGTTCTATGAAAATCGGCTATCAGTTGAGGTTTAGATATAAAATAAGTTACAATTATTTGGTAGAATAAGTAATGTCAATAATTAATGTGAATGGTTAGAAATGTTATATAGGATTAAAGTGTCGCTGCTGACACTTGAATTTGAACTTTGATCGCCAGTGAGCAAAAAAAGGCGATCCCATTATTGAATTAAGTGGAATCCGTGACCATAAAGGAAAGTCATATATAGGAAGTCGCGTGACGTCTAGATGTATCACCTTTCTAGTCTATCCCCTATTACTATTCGGATCTTCATTTCTAGCCTATCCTCTATTGCTATACGGACCGCTATTCTCTATTCTGTTCACTATACTATTTCTCTATTCAGATTACTATACGGTGGCTACTTTCGATCGAGTATTATCGAGCAAGTACTATTAGTGCGAGATTATTCGAAGTTGTCTAACACAAGCATTGTTCAATGGTGTACTATAGTTGTATCGGCAATTACAAAGTCTCTACTACAACGAGCATTACGAAAGTGACAACGAGTATTCGTTGGCATTCCAAATGTGACAACAAATATTCGTTGACATCACAAAAGCAAATTTATGTATAAGTATCATTATCAACCAAAATATAAATAATTTAAAATTTTACATCTTTATCACCGTGAAATAAGATCTTATATGACTTCAAGAGTCAGGTTTTAACCGTCGTTGGGAGAAATTTCTCCATCTTTCCCACGGTTTGCGCTCACATCACCTTGAAACAGTGGTTATAAATAATACTTCTATTGATACGTTAGATTTAAAAAAAAAAATTCAATATTTTCTTATTCCAGCTCAAGGACAATATCGATTAACATATAAGTCTTATATATAAACTTGATACGGGGAACCGACTTCCAAGAGGATGCTTCCCCAATCGCTACAAACTTAACCTGTTCAAATCTAGTATTAACTATTACCTTCCCCACATATCCCCATAAACTGTTCCCTTACCTCTTTTGTGGCTTCCTCGTCCTGGATATGACGATAAACTACGTCCAACAGCAAGGCCACTGATCAAGAGGTTTTAAGGAGCGTGGAACAACCTCTTAATTACTGGTGTTCTCAGGTCAAGCCTGATCTCGGGTGTTAGCACCTGTCCCAGCTATGGGCAAATAGTTAACTCCCAAACTTCTGTAAAAATAGGTTTTAATACCAGGAATACTTTGCAATAAAAAATATTGTCAGCAATTATTTATAATAAATAATACCAGCAATAATTGATAATCTATACTTTTCTTATTTACGGCAATGGTGATTTTCTAAGTGTAAGTTAGATGTGACACAAGGCCGAAAGCATGGAGCACAGTGAGGATCGAAACCACTATTCAGTTTTAATTGGTTTAGCCAGACAAGTTTGCTAACCATTTCACCCCGTCGAAGAGCAAAGTCTTATTTAGGTCAATGGCATTGAGATAAACAAAATACATTTTCGGATCAAAAGTTTACCGTCGAAATGAAATTGGCATCCACTGATCATTCACTTTGTATCTCATTCATCTTTCTAGGACATTTACACACCATTTAAAACGATATTTGAATGAAAATTTTCTCATTGCAGGAATACAAATGATTAATAAATTACTCATTACTTCTTTTTTCATTGTCCCGGAAATCAACCTTCACTGCTTTTTACAAGAGCCGATTTGGAAATTTCATAGTCTGGCCACGATATAAAAGTAAGTAGACAAACCAAATGATTAAACTAAAAGACGTGCAAACAGTTGTTGTATTCTGGGAATTTTTTCCCGTCAAGATAGCGAAAGATTAATATTATTAAGACTTTGGTGTCTCGTGTTCTTGTAATTTGTCCAGAGATAAAATTATACTCAGAAATTGAATTTAAGCTGTAATTTAATTTAAACTGTACATTCGCTTGATATTGTGCAGGCTGACATTAGAGAAAACTGTAACAATTTATAAAACATAAGTTGATTGACCCCCAGATTTGTCTTGTCTATTTGCCTATACTATGGATTGTTGGTGTTAATACTAGGTTTTCCAGGCTGATTTCTGCGGGTGTGAAAAAATGTTCTCTATCTGCCAATTTATACATTGTCATTATTAATCTGTGTATATTTCTGAGATGAGGTATTGCAACTGTTTAGACTATTTACATTTTTTGGTCTATTGTCCTCATCTTTATTGACATATTCACGATGTTTCGGCGGTCGTATGCCCCGGACTTCTTCAGGTGATAAACAATGGAATTTGGAACCGAAGCCTATATTAAGTCCACGGGGGTAAATTGTTCTCGTTCCACGCGACATGAAGCAACCCTCAATATGCCTAGTCATACAACCTTACATATTTTCGGTACTGAGGCAGGCTTACTGTGATTGTCAACTTACAGTTTAATCAATTTATATGAAGTCCTATAAGCGACCCCCCTGTAAGCAGAAGTGGCTGTTACGCTTAAGTATAATTCACCTTTGATATTTATATATTTATTATATAACATCCCGTCGTTATTTTATTTTAGTACCTGTGCATATTTCTTAGTTCTCTACTGATCTTTAATGAGAGAGATTCGGTTAAACTATTTTGATTATATTTTTTTGCATCTGTATATTACAATTTTATGATAATGTAAACATTTTCTTACTCTCTTTTCGTTATTATTTTCTGTTGTTTTAATACATCTGTTTAATCGCTATTATTAGATTGACATATCGTTTTAACTCATTCTAAGCCTGATAATTCAAAGTTATTCATTTAATAATCCCAAGCCATAGAAATTGTATCAGTAGACAACTGATACCCGTACGAGCACCTTACGTTCATATTTGCTTTTTCTTCAGATTTTAAAACGTTTACAGCAATTATAATTGGAAAGTCGCCCGTGCACCTTCGGGCATAATAAAAAAAAGTAGATCAAGTGTTGATTGAAAATAGAAACCTCTGAGTATTTTTAGCTGAAGGCAAAATAACCTTGAAAATATTTACAAGATATATTCCAAAGAACAAGCAGAAAAAGTAAGGGCTGAGGGTTACATTTAAATGAGTCGAGGTTTCAATTAGAGAATATATGTTTAAAATATCAAAATATATTTTCACTTGTCGTGAAAAGAAAGATTCTCAAGATTCGATGTTCTAGAAAATCTTTGATTGAAACTATTTAATTATGGGAAGAAAACAGATATGAAAATCCAAACTGGTTTTCTACTCTCATCGAATAGTATCTAAATAAATCTGTACCTGTGCCTGAGCCTAAATAGTAACTTGAAATACAAATTGACGACACCATAACTTGACGTCATCGAAAAGCTCAAGCATATATCAGTTGAGCTCTGGTATCTGGCGAGTCAGTGTAAACAGCTGTAAGATAGTGTTATGGTGTTGGACCATAGAAAGGTAACACGGACTCCGATATAAGGTTAAAGAGTATAAAAAAAAGCAAAAAAAGCAGTACAAGGGTAAACGTGGACAGGAGAGTACTTTCTCTCACTGGTGTCTTTATTCACTCATTCACTCACTCGGTGATACACTCTTGGTGACTCACACCTTGTTCCGGGTTCCTCTCTGCCAAAGCGGAGAGTTCGACAGACGTTACCTGGTGGCTTCAATATTTAATATCTCACCCACGAGAAATACATGTGGAACAAGGCCGAGTTTAAAGTGAGTTTCTCCGAGCCCATAGGCTCGGCCAAAAATATACTCTTTGAACCCGCCTAGACGGGTTCAGGCCCTGTCTACCTCCCCGGACGAAACCTTGTCCTTCGGCAAAGCTTCTTCTGGGTTCCTCTCTGCCAAAGCAGAGAGTTCGACAGACGTCACCTGGTGACTTCACACCTGGTGACTTCTTACTCATAGTTGGTATCCACATTATATAAGTGTAGAAAAGTCCATTTGTAGGTAGGTTAGGTTCCCACAATAGATAGTTTATGTCAAGGCGACATATTTGGAGTTCGAATGCTGAATGAAGGTGTGTGAAAGCTGGAAGGAACATTCCATTTTTAAAATTGTCGTAACATTTCTTGCTCGGTGTCACGTGTATAGTAGGAATACCGGATGTGTAGCATACCGGATGTGTAGCATACAATCTTATATTGCGGTGTGGCTGGCTAAAGTTCCTTCATGATTCTGATCAGAAGAGTCTAGCTAGGTTGGTCTACCTAAACAGATAAACAACAAAGTCTTGAATCACATCCGCTTTCGCTGCAGCATGTAACAGATAGATATCAAGCAGATCAGCGCATTTATTTTAATTTTCATGTGATATGGAAGCAGACGACCCACCAAGAGGTCCCTGCTAGTACCGCAACAATGGATAGCGCATCAACTAGTTACATGGCGACGCTAATTGGATCCAAGAAAACTTATAGCTGCGACGTCACCGCGGGGTCGCTGCGTCAAATGTGACGTCTGCTTGGCCGCGCCCGCCGTACTTCCCTAGTCGCGGCGCCAATTGTGACATCACCCCGTCTGTCTCCGCGCCGTCGCCGTCCTATCCTGTCCTGTGACGACCAATGTGACTTGGTATTGGTCGCGGCACCAAATGTGACGTTCTAACCTTTTGCTGATTCGGATGGGAATCTGGTTAGATTCGGTATCAGCCTTGTCGTTCCCAGCTCACGTCCTACGTCTGGTTACCGAAGTGATTTGATCTTAGGTAGACGAAATCAATCAGTCGCCGGGCTGTAATGCAAGTCGAGTCCGAACAAGGGTAATACCGCACAAGTATATGTAAAAGAAAATAAAGTAACAACTCGAAAAGTTCAAATGTGTTAAAAAGGAATAACAACATTTTATATCTGGTTGCTGAATACAGGACTGCGTCTTTCTCCCAAACCGCTACATGGATACATGACACTTTGCGTTTGTTAGGCGAGTCTTAACATCTTAAGTTGTTTTTTGATAACTGGTTTTTGGAGTCTTCAGGCGATATTCGCAAAACTTGTTTTTGTTGTGTGAGTCTAAGTCGTTCTTCAAAAATAAATTGTTCTTGGTTAGAAGTTGAGGTCGTGATTGCGTGGATCTTAAGTCAGCTTGCTGCGAGGCGGGTCTCACTCTGCAACTCCAACTCCATCCCAACTGCTGCGACTCTGCTTATATGGACGTCGACACAAACCGGGGTGGGCTTGTCGGGGTTTGAGGTTCCTTGATAATTCTAAATCCGCATTAAGAATTTTCTTTCTTTGGTCAGGAAAACCCATCACTTTCCATTTTTGAAATCTTTTACTTTCTACTTTAAAGGGAATGGTATCTCCCAATTTCTTCCTTTCTCGTATGGGTATCTCACCCAATCCCTTCAGAGGCATCAACAGGTTTTCCCTCTCTCTCACAGTGTTATCTCACACCGATCCCTTCAGGGGGTGTCAACAGGCCTTCCCTCCTTCTTCACATGATTACCTTCGCCTACCGTTCACGCCACCATTCAGCCAATGGACGCCCAGCAGCGTGGGCGTGGCTAGACTGGCCTCGGTTTAAAAAATCTCGCTCAAAGAAAAAAAAATATATCTTCTTTTCTTTCATTTTTTCTTTTCTTTCTTTTCTTCTTCCCGCAAAACAAATCCTAATGACTCTTATCTTAACCGAACGTCACCTGGAGATCATCAATCGAGATTTTTGCCAGCGTCAAGTGGGTGGTTTAACTGGACGTATTTGCATTCTGTCGCTAATTAACTGTTCCGATAAAATAGTTTTTTTTTTATCATGGCCAGCTTTTGACATAAAACAGGTGCCTTTTCCAAACGACATCTCCGTAGATAGCTAATGGCTCAGTCTTTCTTTCTTTGTAAATTGGGTGGTCCAACGGACATTTTGGTTTTCGGTCAGTGCGTGCTTAATTAATATTATCTCTTAGCACTCTGTCCCGTAGGCCACTCGACCAATTTGAAACTTTCCTTATTGCCATGGGCAGATGGCTATATCTTATTCGCCGCCCCGTAACATAAATCAGGTATCTTACTTTCTTCGCTAATGAGAATAAAATCTTTACCACTTTTCCTTGTTAGAAAAAAATAACATCGCTCAGAGCCTTTTCGTGATAGATTCTTATCACCTAATTTAATTCTCGCCTTTTTTTCTTTTTTCACGCAACCTTAAATAGTGTCACAAAGCATAGTTTGATGCGTAACAGTTTCACTTGTTTCCCGCTGATAGTAGGGCTCAAATATGGAACGTACCCCATGAAGCTAATGACACAATAAGTCACATTAATCGTTGTAACGCTATGTGGGATATTTAGTGTGTACTGTAATACACGATTATTGAGTCTAATCGGTACTGATTAATATTTTCACCCATTCAGAGCTTCTAAGAATTTAATAACGACGGTTTAGTCCAGCTGGATAGTAAATTACGTAATCATGTTCAAGAACTGTTCAGAACTGGCTTGCAGGACATTCTGGAGAATTCCAATGAATGATGTGGCTATCACGTTTACCCGATATGAGCTCGATCGTGCAGTTATAGGACGTTAGAACTATGGTTGATATCTCCAGATTTTTTCCAGTCTCTTATGGAATCGATATCACGTCAAAATGTTGTATTTCACTTGATAGCAGAGTGGGGTCTACAGAAAGCTAGACACTTAGCCTATGAATTTTCGAACGTCAGTGTATATAATGATTTTCAAACAATTTCCGTGTGAGTTGTTTTTAAGAATTTGTAAGTCATGCGTTAAATATGCAAAGAGCAAAAAGAGGTTTTGATGTGTTAGAGAAACAACATATGAATATTTATATATCTCTCTCTTCATATATATATATATATATATATATATATATATATATATATATATATATATATATATATATTTTTTTCTCTCTCAATCTTTGTAAGTATGTAACGCTTTTTCTCTCTCTCTGTGAATATGTTTCTTTTTCTTCCTCTGGTTAAATCTGTTCATATCTATCTATCTATCTATCTATCTATCTATCTATCTATCTATCTATCTAAGTCTGTTTCTCAAAAAGTAAGTAAATATGTTGGCTTGACAAGCATAACATTGTCAAGACACCTTACACTTCATTTGTCAGACATATGCTCTCTTGCACAACATCTAAAAGCACATTCCTGTCCACCTTCACAATACTTGAAAATACTTGTTTACAACACCAATATAATACACCACAAAAATAAAGAAATACTTCAAATTCTCAACACTAAACGAAATTGATTACATAATATAGCAACAATATATTCAAGTGCATAACAATACATGCCATTTTACATTTCTACCAATTTTCGTTTAGCACCATTGTATTGAAACGCTTGTTTTTCTAAAAAAATCCATAACTACAACTGATCATTTTAAATTTTAAATTAACTATAACAGCGTGTTTTTAAAAATCAGTATCAAAACGGAATGCAGATTTTATCGCATATACACTAAGTTTGTCTGTATAATTTACTCATGAAGATGATTTTAGAAAAGGTCGAAAGTACGTTGACTTTCTTGAATTTCATCGGAACATCAAGAAACTGATAAAACAACTGTAAAGGGTCAGTATAAAAATATGGAGACATAATATGACTATATTATTCACTGAAAGATGTTTGGGTATATGCATATACATATATAGAGATTTCAATTTTTATACACAATACAAATTGAACCTGGCTTGATGATCCTTCATATTTTTAAGATGAAATTTTAGTTAACTCGGTTTTATCTTTTATTCTTATAGCCTACATTGTATTGAGCACTTTTAATTGCCAAATGTATCATAGTTTGAGTTTGCCAAGTACGATTGTGTTTCATTATATATATATATATATATATATATATATATATATATATTCCAGTTTATTCATATCTATCTATCTATCTATCTATCTATCTAAGTTTATTACGTCCATTTGTGACAGACATTTTCTTACCGCTGATGTTTTTTTCCGGTTTAGGATTGGCACAAGTCTTGCCTATCTTTCACATTCCTATTTTATATTTTTCTCCTATTTCTATTCATCTTCAGTCTTGTTCCTTTTTGTTTCTATTTGCTAACATTTCAGATGCTTCGAGAACTTAAAATGTCGAGATGACAGTATATTTTTTTCATCAACATTGCTTACTGAAATCGCGATAATAGCTTTTTGTCTCTCTTAGTTTGCCACTTGCTTCAATGTTAAAATTGGATTTCTTCTGCGTGTGTTCACTGAGATAACTGTAAGTAATGGTGGCTGATTTCTCTTCGACTTTTTTCCAACTACTATTTATGCAATTTTCATACAAAATTTCTTCTAGATTTATTTTAACATGTTTTTGCTAATATTATCATACATAATATCTTCATTGCTAGAATTATATTGTTTCAATAGTCCAGAGAAATACGTTGTCTCGATTACATATCAAATGACTGTAAAGCTCGAGAGGCACTCAAGGTAAAGTATTCCCGTTAAATAAATGCTTAATAATGAATGTGATGTGTAAAATAAATAGTGGAGAAAAGAAGTGATCATTGTAGGGACAAGAAGAATGGCTAACGATTAAACCGTGTCCTGAAAAGAAGCTTATCATGTTCATAGAAGAACCCAAGCGGAACGTTGTTCCACCAAGTTGCATTAGATCGAAATATCTAAGTCTTATATTTAGAACACGGAGAAAATAAGGATGATTTAACTTTGTAGAAGTAGCATGGTGTGTTTGTAAAACATGCCGTGTCTGGAAAAATCTGTGAAAGTCTGAACTGGTGGAACTAAAGAATGGAGCTCATGCGGGCATTTGCCATTAAAATAGCATAGAATAAGTATAGGCTTTCAACATTGTATCTGTAGAAAGAGGTTGTAGTGTGAAGAATACGTCTTATTCCACAGGTTTGCGTAAAGCTCATAGTAATATTAAGCGTTTCTTTACAAGGAAGCGTTCGGCATTCACTGACAGAGCAATCAATACTGATTTCGGTTGAAATTTAATTTATCAGGAAAAATAGGTTTCTCAAATTCAGTAGGACTTATAGCTCTTTCTAGTAGTGATGAGACTTTCCTTCGTAACCTTTTATTTGAAAAATATAGAACGTCCACATCTTGTTTGTGTCATTGTTTTCTCGGCAAGTTACATGGGATATCCATTTTAGTTTTTGCTGCTGCTGAATGTTTTCAAGTGATATGGTCTTTATTATTTGGTACTGTTCTTTTTTGGGATTCTGTAGTGTCGGTCCCAAAATTTTGAAGAAGGATTGTCCTCGCTAAGACGTGCAGGATTAATTCGCTCAAACTCATTTTCAAACACTGATCTGAAAAGCGGTTCTATGTTGAACTATTTCAAGGTTGAAAAATAAGGATTAAGTATGGATGGCAGGAATACTCTAATAATAGCTTTACTTTCTTCTTTTTCTGTCTGACGTGAAGAAGATGCTGAAGTATCAAAGAATTATGATTTATGCTGAAATTTCTCAAGATTGTTTATCGGATATTCTTTTTTTCTTCGTTTTTACACCCACATAGATTGCCGAACCCAACTAGATTTTAAAAACTATTATAACCACATTCTTCTTCTTCTTCTTCTTCTTCTTCTTCTTCTTCTTCTAAACTCTTTTCTGCTATCCATTTAATCAACGTCACCGAATAGGTTAGGCTTTGTTTTACTCCGTCCCTCTTACCTTCAATCCGTCCTGTGAATACCATATTTCCTAAGCATTCTTTACTCTATTTAAAGTGATAATTAGCCTTTTGGAACTCTACTTAAAAATCTCGCCGACCGCAAGATACTTATAAGCCATCCTCATTATTCTAGTAGTAAATGGTGGCATATAGTGGTGGGTCTACTTTTACTATGTGCGGGGTTCATTCAGGACCTGGACGCTCATGACTCTCCACAACTTTCAATCTGATATAATTTTGAGTAAGGTTTGACTTTATGCTATTTCCCCCAGTCCCTATTCTGACAACCATTTACACAATTGGTTACGTTAAGCTCTGCTTTTCCTTATCATGTTTTCTTTCCTTTATGCTCTGCGAGTGTCAGATTTTTCAATCCTTCGAAAATATCAATTCTTTCTTTCTGATTCTAATGTTGCATCCTTTTTGTTTTTATTTTCCTTAAAACTTTGTCGTTGCTTACATGTTCAATCAATAGTATTCTCAGCATCCTTCTGTAGAACCAAATATCTGCAGCCTCAAATCTATTCCGCATTGTGCTTTATTTCACTAGTGGAAATCAAGTGACTACATTACATTCACGTACGTGCTAATAACCTTGAGAAACGTATAAATCCTTTTTTCCTCCTTCCCACAAGCTATGGGTAAACAGCAGGACAGCCCGAGTTCTATAGCCTTGGATGGCAACTGGTCTAGTGCAGAAAGAAATCTACTGCGCGTAAAAAAATCTACCTCGTCATGTATTGAAAGATACATGATCGCCTAAGCGTGTATCCAAGTTTCTGTAACACTTCAACGCACTTACTGGTATTTTAATTGTTTTTTCAGTAATACTGTCTTTTGTGTGGTCTTCACACTTCTCCGGATTTCTAGTTCACTCACCCTTTTTCTCTATTTCCTTTAGTATTGTTCCTAACGCTCTGATTACCGGTTCCATTGAGATCGTTTTTTTTCATCTCCCGGACAATCTCGAGATATTTATCCATCCTTTCACTTTCCTTTTGATTTAATTTCTTTTTTTTTCCCGCAACTGCGACCCCACACTTAGCATAATTTTCTACTTGCTTATTGCTACTAGATTAGGTTTTCTGATCAGGATTCGGTGATACGCTTCAGTTTGCTATATCAGTTGAACCATTAAATCACTGGTTTCTCAGAGTCTGTGGCTCGGTATGGCCTAACAGTATGTTTTCTTAAGTATGAAATTCTTCTCAGAATTCATGATAACTGTGATCTGAATTATCTCAATTTTTTATTGAAGCATTTTGAATACGCATTTTCTTCTTCATTTCCTACAGTTTTCGCATGTGTTAAGCAAGATCTTGCTAATTATATCCTCACTCCCGTATTCAATCTGTGGTCTTCTGTTGATGCCGCTGTATTCAAATGTTTTATGGCTATATTCCTTCAAGACATAAGAACTCATGATTCTTTTTCTTTATTATCTGTAAATTTCCATGACTCCTTCGAAAAGATAATGGAGTAATTTCTCTTGACTTTTCACCTGCTTAAAATTCAAGCCTTTATCTTCTTCTCTTAGATGAGTTACCACCCAAGGCTAGAGAGCAAGGTATATTATGCTATTTTACCCCTAAATAGGCGAAGTAGAGACAGATTCGAACCTTTTTAAGGGTATTTTTGCAAACGTGATCACATCAGACTAACCCGGAATTTGAACTCCAGTCATCAATTCCACGTTTCGAGCCGCTATCCGTTGCACTACACGCAAATTAAATGTATTCAATATTTGACACATTTTCAGGAGGATCAGTATAAGACGCAACCCTTAATCGGCGGAAAAAATGTTGCACAACAATCATGCACATAAAATGTTGCACAACAATCGTACACAACAAAATGTTGCGCAACAATCATACACATCAAACTGTTGTACAACAATGGTACACAACAAAATGTTGCACAACAATCATACACATCAAAATGTTTCAGAACACTCATACACATCAAAATGTTGCACAACAATCGTATGCATCAAAATATTGCACAACAAACGGGTAAGGACGAATAAGTTAATTTAAAAGGGTACTTACATAAATTGTAAAAATCATATATTTTTTAGTTCTTTTAAATTATGAAAATACGGAAAAAATGGAAGTAAAGTAAATGTTACGTCCCTAAATTTAATATTAGTTGACAGTATCTTATTCCTTGAAGATTTCAACGCCTCAGGTTGTCGCTAATTTTCATTTGTTTTCTCTTCGAGAAATATGCAAGCAAACATAACGTTGATTTTGTTTACCTTTTCAGCTTCATTTGCAAGAAAATACTCTAGAAGTGAATTAATCCTAACAGAATGTAACCTCATGAATTCTAAAGTAGCCAATTAATCATTTAGACTTGAATCATCAAAGAATCATTTAGACTTGAATCATCAAAGAATGAAGCTCGTATCGCTAGAAAATTTGTAAATCATCAATTGGTGATGTACGCTGGTCTCCTCTGAAGCATCAATTTATAATGTCGTGTAATGGTTAACGTCCATTTTGTTGTTTACTTTTGATGATTTGCCGTTGTTACAAACATTAACAGAAATTTTTACTTTAGATTTAAGATAAATAAAGGTATTTAAAAAGTTGTTCTCATTATGAAATAAAACTCAGTAGCAGATTTTTCTGTACAGCATTAAAGTTATGACCAAATAACTTTCTTATAATCAAATCTACTTTATTATAATAATTATTCGTTGTAGTAGACCATCATTTTTTAATGATACGTTGATAGTATACATTCTCAATATTTGAAGGAGCAGTAACAGGTATATCTTTTTCGACCAATGCAGTATGAAGTTATCTTTAGTTCAACTAATAATTGTAATGTTACTAATTTATACTTACTTTTTATATTAAATGTAAAAAATATTGCCTAAAGGATTATACAAATAAATTATTTTTTAATATAATTATAAATTGTTTATGTCATACAATATTTACAAGCTAATGTTATGTTTAATTCATTAGAAATTATGGACAAGAATAAATTGGTTCATCATATTTTTAAATTAAAATTAACTCATAAATGTAAATATAAATATTAAATCGATTATAAAACTGATACACACACAGACACAAACACACACATACACACGTATATATATATATATATATATATATATATATATATATATATATATATATATATATATATATAAAGTTTCATCTTTGGAATGAAAAAAAGAGAAACTTCCAGAGCTTCCCAAACACACGTTATTTCTTTTTCAATTTTAAACGCAATAATAATAATAATAATAATAATAATAATAATAATAATAATGATGATAATAATAATAATAATGATGGTGATGATAATAATAATAATAATAATAATTTCTTTAAAAAACTATGAAAGTACAAAGATCTTCAAGTGGAAATCTCAAAAATGTGGCACATGAAGACATCAGTAGTTCTAGTTGGAGACTGAGCCCTCGAATTGACTGGAAAAAGGTTCCGATAGGCTCATTGAAGGGATTCCTGGTAGCCCATGCCATAAAGAAGTACAAAATTGTACTCAAATGTACAACTCACATAAAGATTTTTATCTATGTAAAATATGTGTAATCTTGGATTTTTGTCTTTCTTTTTTACAAAAATTATAAATAGAAAATGTCATACAGCCATTCCAGACATTAGGTCCATTGCTGGGACCTGGAAGAAAATGTGTATACAAATTTAATCAAAGGAAATAATAATAATAATAATAATAATAATAATAATAATAATAATAATAAACAAGTCATCTTTTATCATTGTACTCGAAAATCCACAAAAGAACATCATGGATCAGACATACCAAATATGAAGGGACATAGTAGGAACTAAAATAAGACACTATCTTGACCCAAATATGCGTGCCAATGTCCGCATGGACATCATGCAAAAATACAGAAATAGATAAGATATAACTAAATATAAGAGAAAATACTGTCAGACATCATCCAAACAAAAACGGAGCAAGTGTGAAAATGGTTAATATGACAGAGGATGAGATACAAATTAAAATAAATGAGATAAAATATAACAATGTCTCAGCAAATAAAACGGAAGAGTCTATCTGCGACATAAATAGATGCACTGATTCAGATTCTGTCACTGATGAAAATAAATCAAATGACATTAAAGCAAACAAAATTCCTTGAAAACAACATAGTTGAAATCAATGAAGCGAAAAACCATATTCTTCAGCAAAATAACTCTCGCACAAATGTCAGAAAAAGATCGGGTTCCGAAAATTCGTAAGACACAGTTCAATGAATATATTGTGTAAATATATAATGCAGCTATGCAAAAATTGTTAACGGACAGACCACTAGAAAACATTACAGGTGAAAACAATGTCATATATACAATTGCTTTGGCATCTACTCAAAAAATTAATGTCAAGACAAATAAAAGACTAAACAACATAACAAAGAACCCAGTTGGTAGGCAACATTAAACGGATAAATTGAGGAAATCAGATGTGAGTTATCGGTATTAAATAAGATTTTAAGAAATTCAAATGTATCAACGCAGAAAAAGCAAGACGATCAAGAGGAAATACAAAATTAAATTAAATGAAATTCCGTCAATCAAGGAAATACTGCAATTAAAGACACAAAGAACAAAATGATTGTGAAAAACATTATAGGTTCTGTCATGGTCCGGTTCGTTGTACCACGATGATAGTACAAGGTAGAACCAATAAAGAAGAACACGGATATGGAATAACACATATGTTACAAACAGGAATATATACAGAGAAGTAGAAAGTGTTAGTACGAAGTGTTAGGTTTAGTAGTAATTGTCTGAACGTGACTCTGCTTCAGACTGCCTCTGACTTGACTGACTGACTCCCTCGCTCTGACTGACTGACAGACTCTTGACGGATTTCACTCCAGACTTCAGACTGAACAGTATTTAGTCACCCCCACCCCACGAGGGCATCATGTGGCACAAGGCCGGTTTAACGTGGGATATCCGAGCACGTGGGTTCAGCCAAAAATATGCCCTTTGTACCCGTATAAACAGGTTCAGGGTCGGTTTACCTTCCCGAAAGAGAGTCCTCCCTTCGGCGTAGCCTCGTTCGGGTTGCTCCCCGCCCGAAGGCAGAGAGTTCAACCAATCAGCCGGTTGCCCGACTTCAGGCCGAACTCTCTGCTTCCTCTTGAGGCGCAGTATTTATTACGTATGGAATAGTCCATTATGTTCTTATGGGTAAGGTCCCATAACAGGTTCAAAATAAGATACTCCAAATAGACCCCAGGAAGTTTTACTGGGAAATTTTAAAAGCTGTTATAAAAGTTAAAAAAAAATCACCATCTGTTGAAGAAGTATAAAAACATTAGGAGAATATTTGGAGCAACCTAAACGAATATAATCCCAATGCAGAGTGAATCAAACGAGAACAAGAAAGAATGAAGAATAAACCTGTGTAAATATAACCAAACATAATGTTAGATAAACTCTAACAAAATCCTAAAAGTAGAAATCCCTAGAAAGGGAAAAGTGGTATGGGACCTTACCCATAATAACATAATGGACTATTCCATACGTAATAAATACTGCGCCTCAAGAGGAAGCGGGAGCTCAGTCTGAAGTGTGGAGTAAGGTCCGTCAGGAGTCAGTCAGTTAATCAGAGCGAGTCAGAGGCAGTCCGAAACAGAGTCGCGTTCAGACAATTACTACAAGACATTGGAATAGTGATACTGGTCGAGACTACATTGTTCTCCCTACTAAACCTGATTGTTCATACTAACACTTCTACTTCTCTGTATATATTCCTGTTTGTAATATATCTGTGTTATTCCATATACGTGTTCGAGTTCTTCTTTATTGGTTCTACCTTGGACTATCACTGTGGTACAAGGAACCAGACCATAACAAAAAGGTACCCGAGTTTTGGCTTTATCTTCTGTCATCAGCACACAAAACCCTTGCGCAAACTTTATCAATGCTAATTAATAACCCCAATGAAAATCCAGAATAGATCCCTGAAGGTATTACCTATCTCCTACCAAAAACGGATGAAACAGATGATCCAAAAATTATAGGCCATTAACATAACACATATAAATAACATGACATATAAATTGATCACGTATGTCTTGACGAAGTGTACGTACTCTTTTCTCGATGAAAACAACATTCTTACCCTGGAAGCGAAGAGATATCGTAGAAGTTCATATGGTTGCAAAGATTAACTAATAATAAATAAAATAATCCTAGAAAATTGCAGGATAATAGGTTGAAATTTCAGCATAGCTTGAATAGATTACAGTCAAGCCTTTGATCGTGTGCCACACTCTTGGATCCTTAAGGCTTAGGAAATGTACAACGTCTCCTCTGTGATAGTAAATTTCTATAAATGTTGCATGGAACTGTGGAAAACCACATTATACATAAATCACACCAAAAGTTCTGTTAATTCCAATTGTTTAAATATCCACCAAGGAATCTTTCAAGGAAACTCCTTGTTGCCACTTCTGTTCTGTCTTACTTTAATCCCCACTTTCACATGAACTAAACATTTATTACTATTGATACAAGTCAAAAAAAAGAAATGACATCAGTATGGATTTAGGATTAGATAAATGTGCAAAAGTAACATTCAAGAAGGGGAGAATTACAGAAACACGCTCAATAGATCAAGATTTTATCACAAAGATTAGGGAACTGGAACAAGAAGGAGCCTATAAATACTTGGGAGTCAGCGAAGGAGATGGAATACAGTATACACAAATGAAAGAGAAAGTAAGAAAAGAATACTACAGGTGTGTGCATCTGCTGTTAAATGCCAACTTGAATTAACGAAACAATATCAGCCATAAACACTTTGACTGTCCATGTGGTGCATACAGCTTCGCCATCCTCAATAACTGAAATTAAGTGAATGGATACCAAAATGAGAAAGTTTCTCACATGCTACAGCATCCATCACACTAAGGCTGATGATGATTATCGTCTGTATTGTCCTGATCCAAGGGAGACAGAGGATTAGTGAAACTAGAACTGTGTTATAAAACGACATCAGTCGGTCTTCAAAAATACCTGAAAACTGCAGAATACTGTACCCAAGAACATAAAAGAAATAAGAAACTTTATTCAGTAATAAAGGAAGCCAAGGAAATCAAAATGGAAGTTCAAGCAGGTGAGGAAGTGCAAATAAACAATAATACACCTACTACAGCGGTAAAGAACCTAAAAATGAAAGCAAAGAAAATACAATGTACCAAATTCAGAATTCGTGCCAACATAAGCCTCTTCATGGTCAATATTTTTGACCATACCAAACACACTGATGTTGACAAACACCGTACCCATCAGAGGCTACGTAGCGCAGGGTTAAAAACCAAAACCGAAGGATTTTTTCTTGTTGCACAAGACCAATCCTTGCAAACTAAAAATTGTTAAGCACACATACTGAAAAAAATGTGTTGACCCCAAATGCAGATTCTGTGATAAATATGTAGAAACAATTAACCATCTTTCATCAGGTTGCACAGTGTTACCACCAGCGGAATTTAAATCTCGACATGATAGAGTGGGCCAATATCTTTACTGGAAAGAAACTGCATGATCACGAAGCAGAAATAATTAAAATTATAATACCCGTAACAATTTTATTGGATTTTACAATACACACAGAATGTAATGTATATTTGAAAATCTTCAAAAAACTATAAAAATACAAGGATCTTGAAGAGGAAATCTAAAAAATGTCACACATGAGGACATCAGTAATTCTACTTATCTATGGAGTCGTCGGATTAATTGGAAAAAAGTTACTCTAGGCTTAATGAAGGGATTCCTGGTAGCCCATGCCTTGCAAAGAGATTTTACTATGTAAAATGTGTGTGATCTTAATTTTCTTTTTTTTTTTTACAAAAGTGATCAGTGGAAAAATTATTGAAGCCATTTTCATCTTAGGTCTCTGGTTGGGATCCAGAAGGACGTATATACATAAGAAATCAAAGGAAATAATAATAATAATAATAATAATAATAATAATAATAATAATAATAATAATAATAATTTTTTTTTTTTTTTTTTAAACAACGCTATTTTCAACGACTTTAAAAAATAACGGAATTTACATTTATATATTATATTTTATGAATTTATGAAAAGAAAATGCAATCTTTCTAAGAAGGAATATCGTGGAATTTACAGATGGGCCAATAAATTATTTTTAAATTTCACAGCAAAGACAAACGAATGTAAACTTTTTTTTTTTTTTTTTTTTTTTTTTTTAACCAGCGTCATTCTCTTTGATTTCCAATCGTGTCTCTGTCTATTGTTGCTTGGCAACCCATTTAGGAAGGAAAACTCCGAACAACAACCCGCAACTCAAGGTGTTAATCGTGCCGAGGAGTGAATGGCTACTGCGTTATGAGGTCGCGAACGATCCCCTACAGGCTTCGGAACCCTGTCTGTAAAGACCGTTACTCAACGTGCCGGGCAACTTTGGGTGGACTTTTGGACCCGTGCGTCACTCGTGGGATTAATATGAAAATTAAAAATAGAAACAAAACGTCCAGTATGGCTCTTCCAGTGGATAAACAGGGAGCCCGTCCTTCAGGAGGGAACCTACCTGAGGTCGAAAAAAATCTGCCATAGGAACAAACTCCTACACAAAGAATGAATCTTCAGGTCCCCACAACCAGGATAATCCTAATGATGGTCCTGTAAATTCTCCAGCTAGATCCATAACCGTAAATTTAAGGAAAGAAAAAATAAAAATGGTCTCGTGAGGAGTACAAAGTTGTTATGACTGCATTCCATGAAGCGTTACTCAAACCTCAGAAAAACATCACTCGCCAAACATATGACATTTGGCGAGAGAAGGTTGGGCAAACAATTAGAAAGTACATAGACAAAAATAAACTAGCCAATGTAAGAAGGGACATCATGCGAAATAACCGATTGACAGAGGCTGAAATTAATGAAATAAAAAGAATTGCAACAAGAATAGATGAACCAACAAAACATGAAAAGGAACCGGAATCGGGAAAAAAAAAGTAGTAACATCACACAAGCCTCAGGTCATAATGAAAAACCGAAATACACACAAATCACTGTGAAGATAATGCTGAAAATTTAGAAATGTTGGAAAGGTATGATCTTAGTCAGTCACAAGACGGTAATAAAACGAGTTCAAAATTCATCGAACAGAATTATTTCACAGAAAACAAGATTAATATACAAGAAGCCAAGGATGAAATCATGAGCCATATAAGTCAGATACAGAATATTGCAATGGAGGAACGAGAACAACTCCCAAAATTACAACCAACAAAGCATAACCTCAAAACTATTAAGCTCTATAATGCAGCACTCAAATTGATTCTGGATGAAGAAGACACTCATATAAATCTCAATGAAGCAATATATGCATCAGCAATAGCAGCAACAAATAAACTGAACATCAAAGTAAAAAAAAAAGCAGTCTCACAGACATGAAGATCCACCTTGAAAAGAAAAAATAGAAAAAGAAATTGAACACCTTAGAAGTGAATTATCAGTACTCGATGAACTAGCAAGAGGAGTAAATGTAAGAACTAGAAAAGGCAGAAGAGTCGAAAGAAAATACAATATCAGGAATGAAAATGAAGTCCTATCAACTAAAGAAAAAAAAAAGCAAACAATACAACTGAAGGCTCAAAGAATAAGACGCTACGAGAAAAGATCAAGATTCTATAGACAGAACAAGATCTTTCAAACCGATGCAAAGAAATTTTACAGGGAAATAGGTAAACAAAGAATTGAAGTGACAGTCCCCCCTAAAATGGAAGAAGTTATACAGTTCTGGGGAAAAATATGGGCTTGCCCTAAAGAACACAACGAAGAGGCAGATTGGATTGCGCAAGAGTTAGAACGAATGAAAAATAAACCAGAACAGACATGGGCGGGAATCACAGAAGAAGATGTTAAATGTGCACTGAAAAAAGCACACAACTGGAAATCTCCAGGAATAGATAAAATTCTAACTTCTGGCTATATTATTTAAATACAGCACACAAAAAAAAACTCGCCAAAGAACTTCAAGAAATGGTTACCGATCCAACTAAAATTCCTGCATGGATGACCAAAGGAGTTACCTTTCTTCTACCCAAAAATAGTGACACAAATATTCCGAAAAACTATAGACCAATTACATGTCTTCCAACAACATACAAACTGTTAACATCTATTTTAACAAAACAGACATATTTCTTCTTGGAAAGAAATGACATACTACCACTTGAACAAAAAGGGTGCAAACGAGGCTGCTACGGATGTAAAGACCAATTACTTATTAATAGGATGATCCTGGAAAACTGCTTCCGTGAAAAAAAATCTTAGTATTGCCTGGATAGATTATCGTAAAGCATTCGATAGTGTACCACATTCCTGGATCTTAAAGTCTTTAAGTATGTACAAGGTATCACCCGTTATCATCAATTTCATCAAACAATGTATGTCGATATGGAAAACTACACTTTACCTCAATCATAAAAATGGAACCTATAAGTCTGGCGAAATAAACATCAATAGAGGAATATTTCAAGGTGACTCTTTGTCTCCTTTATTATTTTGCATATCACTTATAGCATTAACCAGCCAACTTAACAAGACAGAATGCGGTTACAAAATAGCTCAAAAGAAAATAAACCATCTATTTTACATGGATGACTTAAAATTGTATGCTAGGAATGACAATGAGCTGGAAGGTCTTCTGCAAACTGTAAAATGCTTCAGTGAAGACATCGGAATGAAATTCAATTTGGATAAATGTGCTAAAGCTACAGTTTTACGAGGATCGCTACAACAAACTTCCTCTATTAGTTTAGACCCTGCTGTAACAATAAAAAAGATTTAGAACAAGGAGAAGCTTATAAGTACCTAGGTGTAAATGAGAGTGAAGGAATTCACCATAAGAAAATGAAAGAAATAGTGCGTAAAGAGTACTATAGAAAGGTACGACTGGTATTAAAAACTGAATTGAATTCTCAGAACAGAATTATGGCCATTAATAACCTAGCCATCCCAGTGGTCCAATATAGTTTCAACATCTTGAACTGGACTCTAAATGACATCAGACAAATGGATTCTAAAACAAGAAAGCTTCTTTCTAAGTATAAGATGCATCATCCAAAGGCTGATGTAGACCGTCTATACATACCCCGTAAAGAAGGTGGAAGAGGTCTTATTCAGCTAGAATTGTCATACAAGACAACAACTATTGGCTTACTAACTTACATGGAAACAACAAATGACTGGATGATAAAATTAGTGAAACAACATGAAAACAGAAAGAAAAAATATTCAATAATAAAAGAAGGCAGTAAATACAAACAACATTTACATTTAGTAGATTCTGTAGTAAATCAAAACAGAAGCCAAGAACCAACTATTGCAGCAAAAGATATGAAAAAGAAAGCCAAGGATAAAGCCCTTGAACAGATGAAACAACGCTGGCAAGACAAACCTCTGCATGGCCAATATCCAGAACGTGCAAATAAACCCAATGTTGATAAAGTTAATACTCATCGATGGTTACGAGCATCTGGATTAAAGTCTGAAACTGAAGGCTTTATTCTTGCAGCGCAAGACCAGAGTCTTTTCACTAGGAATTTTCAGGCAAATATCATACATAATAATGTGGATCCAAAATGCAGGTTCTGTGACAAATACCAAGAAACAATAGACCATCTAATCTCAGGATGTTCTATACTTGCCCCAAATGAATATAAAAATCGTCACGATAGAGTGGGGCAATACTTACACTGGACAATGTGCAAACACTTTGGAAAATGTGTAAGCAAACACTGAGTATGAACATCGGCCAGCGCCGGTTACAGAAATAGAAGATGTCACCATTCTATGGGATTATACCATCCACACAGACAGAAAAATTGAAGCAAATAGGCCGGACATTATTGTCAAAAACCAGAAAGAAAAAAACTTGCCTACTAATTGATATGGCTTGTCCAGCGGATTGTAACATAGCAACCAAGGAATTTGAAAAACTATCAAAATACAAAGACCTGGAAATTGAAATAGAAAAAAATGTGGAAATTGAAAACAAGAATAATACCAGTGGTAATAGGTGCACTTGGAATTATAAAAATGGAACAAAACAACACATTGAAAGAATCCCTGAAACCCCAGCTTAAGAGACATACAGAAAATTGTCTTATTAAGTACAGCACACACACTAAGGAGAACTTTGTCTATGTAACGCTAGCAACTTCATCGGAGATAAAAAAAAAAAAAAAAAATTAACATGAAATGTGGCCATAACAACACACCACGACCTGCCTTAGGTCTTTCCGCAGACTTGGTAGGTAGTGTGTCCATAGCAGAAATCGAATGATGATGATGATGACAATAATAATAATAATAATAATAAAATAAAAGCTAACTGCCCAGACATTGTTATTAGAGATCGCACATAAAAAGTGCCTCCTTATTGATATGGCAATAACTGCAGACTGCAATGTATCTTTCAAGATCTTCAAAAGGCCATCAAAATACAAGGACCTTGAAATCAAAATCTCAAAAATGAGGCACATGGGGACTCAAAAATCCCCGTTGTAATTGGAGCCCTCGGGTTGGTTGGAAAAGATTCCAGTAGACTAATTGAAGGGATTTCTGGAAGCCCATGCTCTAAAGAAATACAAAAAATTGTTCTCACGAGTACAGCCCACACCTTACGTTTATGTGTTTCTCAATGGAAAATGTCATGATGTCATTTCTAAACTTAAGTCCCTGGGCGGGGCTCGGAAAGAAATAAGTACATATCAGAAATCAAAGGAATTAAAACAATAATAATTTCATGATCGGAAGTACTTTGGGAGCATCATGGCTAGGTGTCGAGAGGGTTATATTTTTTTGATTTTGAAGGATAATGCAACCAAGATACACCGAGATACATTGGATCATTAGAATTTCGAAGACATTCTGATCGGAGAAAGCAACCCGATCTGAAGGTATTTCAAATTAGGCCCCATCTGCAGAGAGTTGCCTGCATTTTGTATCAAACCCTGTCATCATATCGGGAACATCTGGATGTGATTCATGTGCCTTGTATACTCTTATAAAATCGGGTCTCATGATAGGCAGATATGTCTTCTAATATTCTTACGACAGCATCGTTTGGTGACATGCTGCTCCATCACATTACCTAAACAACAACAACAATTACAACAACGATATTTTGCATTAGAGCTTATCTAAATTCCATATTTCCTTATCCCATTATGGTAATCCTTTTATTGGATTAAACATATTTTTCTCTTATCGGTTTTAGAATATTTCTCATGTATAAAGCGGCCATCTCGATCTACAGCAGTTAACAGCAACTCTTTGTATGAGCACTGAGAAAGGTTTGAAAAACGACTAATTTATTATTATTATTGATATCCTCAATATTAGTCCTATGTGCCACTCAAGGTAGAGCGGTATTGAATGTGAATGTTGTAAAGGCGTATAGGGTGAAGGATGAATAACAATTGAACTTCTAATTAAGGGAGTTAAGATTGTAGTGATCAGAAAAGCATCCTCTCTGGAGTCCATTTCACATTGGAATAGTTTTGGGGAAGAAGCGATTGTGATGTGGTTCTACCGAGGAATGTTTAAATTGTAATGGCCAGAACGTGGCAAGTTTTAAGGAGAATAGGAACCTCGAAGAAACTCTGTTGGTTGCAATTAGGAAGAGATATCTGGACATTTAGGGACACATAATGTGGAAGGAATGATTGAATAAATTGACATTCACATGACATGAAAAAAATGGAGGAATCAAAGTGCAACGTCTTTTTTATTTTTGGATGGTATAAAAGTATAAAAAAATAAAGTCGTCAAAGATGAGGTATTAATAAAATCAAGAAAAGTTAGAACGCTGTGGAGAAATATAATCACTAATCTCTTGAAATGAAATGGCAGAGAGATAGAGAGAGAGAGAGAGAGAGACAGACACAGACAGACAGAGACAGAGACTGAGATATTTATATACTCTATCTTTACGTAGGTGAAATATCGACGTTTTTTTTTTCAGTGAATTTCAGTAATATTTTTGTTCAAAAAAGGTAATTTCCACTGGTAATTTTTCCAGGGAACTCGCATGGAATATACACAATTATTTAATTGAAAATTATGGTTCAGGAAATTCAAATGGGAAAACCGTAAAATTTTTATGGGTACTGCTATAATAATTTAATATGCTTAAAAAATGCTGTATTTCTTTCCTTCCACTGCAATATATATATATATATATATATATATATATATATATATATTAAGCAAAATAGAAGCCGCAAATGTTTTTGGTTACAATGTGGATTTTGTTTCATACATTATTATTTATTTTACAATAAAATAAATTTTGGGGAAATAAAGTATAATTTATGAAAAAAATACATTGTAACAAAAAGACGCTTGTGGCTTCTCTTTAAAATATACACTTTTCTCTAGTTGGAACACGTATAATCTTTCCCTTATATATATATATATATATATATATATATATATATATATATATATATATATATATATATATATCTAGCGTGATTGAAAAGTAACTCCCAATTTTATGCATAGGTGGCCAGCCAGGAGTTCTGACCTTTTCTTTAGAATTGGTTAAAGGAGCAAGTCTACTATACCAAACCAAGACTTTGAAAGAAATTGAAAATCGAATACAAGTCTTCCGTACCGCAAAAATTCCTGATGAAATCTGTTGAGGCGATTCCTGGCGCCTCGAGAAGCTGGTACCGAAATTATTTTAAGACATTTTTATGTTTATACATTCTTTTTATACATACAAATATTTAAGTAAATGTTCTGTTTATAATAAAGAATTAAAGAATATATAAACATAAAAATGTCTTAAAATAATTGTCGGACTTTCATAATGTGTGACGTCATTTGTTTACATTTGATACGCCATGAGCAGATATGAATGTACGTGAGAGATTCATGGAAGATTGAAGTTTAAATACAGTAAATTCGACCTTGCTAACCGAATGCGACTTTGTGTCCAAATCGGTAAAGGCACGTCAAGCTAAATGACGGTTCCGTATAGGATACAGCTTCGAATCATGTCGGAGGACGAATATTTTCTGTGAAAATGTTTCGGATATTCAGGCCGGTAAATGTTGTTTAATACTGTTTATTATAAACAGAGCATTCACATATTTGTATCTATAAAAAGAATGTATAAACATAAAAATGTCTTAATATATATATATATATATATATATATATATATATATATATATATATATATATATAAATTAATCACATTTACGCAAACATATATGTGAGTATTTGTGGAATTCCTTCTTGGGTGGCACAATAACATTTCAGCACCATTCATATATTTATATACTATATATAGCTTCTGTAAACAACTGTTGATTGGGCCTTCATCATAATAGGTAGGGAGGAGTAGATACGATAGTCAACAATATACCATAGAAGAACTGGTGTACGTAGGTGTTACTTTCCGTACATCTATTTTTTTCATGAATGACTTTCGCTGTTTTGGCAATTAATTTCCTTTATTCTCAAATTTATTTCCAAGTTTTAAGACAAAAAAAGAAAAGAAAGAAAAAGAAATCGTGGCAAAAAATCACGTAAAGAAAGAATCGCCAAAAACAATCACAGTAATGAAAACTTGGGAATCCATGGAGTCGGGATATTTCCAAAATTGTATGATACGTTGTGCTACGGCGTCTAGGGGTAAAGATGAAAAATTGTGACACTTTGACACACTGACATTCGCATTATATATATATATATATATATATATATATATATATATATATATATATATAATACTTCAAATGCTATTATAGTAGATACTTCAAATGCTATTATGGTAGAATTATTTATAATAATCTTTTAAGTAATAAAAGTATAAAATAAAAAAGGCCATTAGGTCTATATATTCATTGTTTAAAATTCGTTAAAATTCCTCATATTTGTGGGAAAATTTGTGCAGTATCTGAGAACGTTTTTTTTAAATATAGACACTACCTATTAACCATACAGTGTTGAAATCTATCTATCTATCTATCTATCTATCTATCTATCTATCTATCTATCTATCTATCTATCCTTCCTGACATTAAATGAACTGAAATTGCACAGCACTTATTCAAAAGTAGACGATTTTAATTTCATGAGTTCTTTAAAAATAGCAGCCATTTTTAGTAAAATTTAATAATTTTAGTCTTCTTTTTCCAATGAATTAAATAAAAAATCACGTGTAAATTGTCCCACTTTTACACATACAAACGGAACTGAATAAATAAGTAGATGTGACATATACACCAATGGTTTCTTTATATATTTTTTAAAAATTTATACCAGCATCTCATCCTGTATTTGCTGCTTTAAATCCGCTTAAAAATTTCCATTTTCACCTGAGCCATTCAATAAAAATCTATTGAAAATTCTAAGTAAAATATGGCGAGGCTTTTGAAGAGTCCATTAAGAATCAAGAGCATATTATTCTTCCTTTCACGTTCATTTTGATGAAGACAATTCGAAATCAGTGGCAAATCTGTTTTGTCAGATTTTTATGTGAAAAAACATTACAAATTTTCGTTTATATATATATATATATATATATATATATATATATATATATATATATATATATATAAGAGATAGAAAAAAACTGCTAAAACCTTGTGTGTCACTTAACTCACGATAAATGTATATATATAATTCTTCAATAGTATTTTGTGCACGTATTGATCTGTATAATACAGGTCAATACGTGCACACATTTAAAGACAAATTATATATACTGTAAGTTGCGGCATACAAGTCGGCCTCAAGATATTTATCACAAAATTCTGAATTAGGCCTGTACTTACCGTATAGGTCACCCCACCCCCACCAAAAATATACGGTAGTTTACCAGTAACCCACACTTCTGTCTTGAAAAGATACACATTTTAGGCTTGAAGACTCAACTTGTACGCTGCAATTTACGTTAATTATGGATTATTCTCAATTTGTTAGTCAAAAGCAGGTAAGGTTTTGCGAGCTGTTAGTCCAGAAGCAACTCCATATTCTTGTCACTTGAAACAGCTTGGCTTCTTCGATGTCTGACACGGTAGAGCCTCGTTATCCTACTGTCTCTGTGATGGATCCATTTTTCTTGGGACGTCCCACTGGTTTTTTCGTTTTCGGTTTCCCGTTGTACCATGACTGTCTGAATACTCGTCACGCCTAGTTCTTGTCTGATGTCATCATTCTTCTTTTTGTCCCGGCGCCTGACTAGCTTAATCAACCGAAAGAATTCATATCTCAGTTACCTGCACACGACTCCTGGTTGGCGCTGTCATTGTACAACACTCACATCAATACAGAAGAAGTGGCCGGACTATGGTCTTGTTGATGTTAATATTGACATTATGTGACAATATCTTAACCTTGAATAGCAGTAGAGGATTCTAACATTGCAGCTGTTAATTCTTCCGTTGATGACTGTTTGATTCATGGTACCATTGTCGAAAACTACACAAAGGTATTTGAAGGTGTCCATCTGGTGCATGGGTGCTCTGCAGGCTGTGACATGTAACGCTAAAGATATCTTCCAAACCATCATCACTTGATTCCATGGTCACGAAGCACACGATACCAGACATCGAGTTACACGCCTTTCAGTCGTTCCAGTGACTAGTATGTCACCATCGGTGTAGGCTGTTCTTGAGTTCTCGTTCCACTGGTCTATCATGAGGATAAACAACGGCGCAGAAAGGACACTTACTTGTCGCGCTTCAGTTTTGATGCGAAAACAGATATCTTCATTAGTGTTAGGTATAACAGAATTGTTGATGTTCTGGTATGTCTCTTGGATAGGTTGATGGAGATGTATGGTATTCCATATTCTGTTTTCCTCAAGATATCCTAGAACTTGTTACTCGGGACACTACCAAATGCTTTTTTTTTTTAGATCTATGTTAGATACGTCATCGTGTGGCGTATTCCCATGTTTTCTCCAGGATCATCTTAAGAGTGAAGATGAAGTCCATGGTTCTATGGTTTGGTCTGCTCCCGTGCTGTCATTCAACGAGTTCTTCTTCAACAACTTTTCTGAGGCAATTCTCTAGGATCCTATCATAAACTTCACAATGCGTGGTAGAATCATTCTTTCGCCGTCATTTGCACTATCTTGACGGTCACCTGTCTTGTAAATTGAGCACCTACTTGCTTTTCTTCAGCAGTCTTGTACCTGTAGTAATTTTCCAAGAGTAGATGTGGCACAAAGCCGAAAGAAGAGGGCGCTCAGTGAGGATCGAACTCATTAAGCAGTTGTAATTGTTCTAGCGAGACAAGCTTGCTAACCATTACACCGCCACGAGGTGCTCAAAATGATTTTCTAAGCGCAGTGGCACAAAGCCTAAAGCAACTCAGTTGTCGTGGTTCTAGTATAACAAGATTACTAACCATTACACCAGGTCGAAGTGCCCCAGTCTTGTACCTGTAATGTTGAACATGCAGTGTTGAAGACGACAGTCATCCATCTTATGATGCATTTCCACTCATGTTTGTAGATTTCTTTATGGTATTTGCTCTACTACTGGTGAATTGTTGTTGGTCATTTTCTCAACCCCTCTTAGTACATCCATTGTTGTGACGTTGACCTCCCCGTCATTTCCAGCGAGAGGTTTTCTTGTGGTTGATCAGATTTCATTCTTCCAACTCCATATACATTTCTACCTCATATCTATATGCTTTTGGCTCGATTCAGGATATGCCATTGTTTTCGATTTTCATTTCAGTCTCTTGTTTCTTATTCTTGCCAAACCGTGACCGAGTTTCTTTGTGCCATAGAAGTCATTGTCTCGGTCATAACCTATCCTGGCCCGTGCGGCTTCCTTGTGTTTTAATTATGGACTCGACACCCATATTAATACACTGGATATCAATTTTAGAAGGCAACTAATCTTTTGTAAACTTGAATACCTACGATCCTACATATTTCATATACAGCACTTCGATACTTTACTCCATATTTATTCCAGCTCCTGACGCAATAAAGCAATGTACTGAAAGGTCACGGTAAAAAATAATTCCATAAAAATGGAAGACAAGCGAGAATTGTAACTTATTGCATCACTCGCCTTGACACCAAGTGTCTTGTATATATTTTTGAGATGAGTTATTGCAGTTATTTACACTATGTACAATATATTTTTCTGACTGTCGTCCATATTCTCAACGTTTCTGCCGGTGATTGGAATTTTCGACCCACGAGAAGACATTGTTCTAGTTCCACGATCCATGCCTCTTCCGTATGTCTCAGTATCATTTTAACTTTCGTTAAGTTTTTGTTACACCTATAGCCAGGTATTGAATTCACAAATCTTTGGGTCAAGACACTCGATTCAACCAACTCTTTTATCCACTTGTGACCTTGAGGACATCAATGTATAAATTTCTGGGACTTATAAAACATCTCAGCAGAAATTTTTACCAGAACTCATATTACAATTTTGTTGTTATTGTTTTTCTCTAGCACTCTGTGTTACTGATTCCATTAATCTATTCATTTCTATGCTTGTCCTCTGCTTAGGAGATTGCTGTGACATAGCATATATGCTGATTTCTTAAGTTTTCGTATTTTCCAGTGATGTTCTCTGTCTGTTATTACAACCTCATCCCACAGAAGGCGGTGATCTTCCCTTTCCCTCCGTATATGGTCAGCTACGCCTACTTTTTCTATTTCCCTTCCTGTTATAGCTTTACGATGTTCTTGCAGTCTTACGCTAAGGGGCGGCCTGTTTCTCCTTTATGTTCTTACCACAGCTATGCATGGGATAACGTTCACGGAGTCCTTAATCATTTTCTCCTCTATGAGTGTTCTCACTCGGAAGAGGTGTCTGCGAAGTGTTGAACCACTTTTGAAGATCGTCCTGATGTTATATGGACCACAGATCTTTTGCATTTTTTCCCATAATCCATTTACATAGGGTAGGCAGACCAAGGCTGTTTTCTGAATGTTGTTATCCTCTTGCATCCTTCTGTCCCAGTTTGTTGTAGACACAGACAACAACTACCCTGCGTGCATGACAGCAGCTCCGACTAATGAAGATGAGGACAACAGTCCGAACAATGTAAATAGTGTAAATAACCAAAGCCTTTTCTCCTGCGTGTCGTTCGCTCCGATGTGAATAGATTATAGAAGATGTCATGTACAAAACTAACTTGTTCATCACCGTACTCATATAGGTATACAAGTCTCTGGTTAAGAGTCCATGTGTGCATGTCTTTTAGTACAAACAAATTTTGTGTAATTAATTAATTATTTTTGCTATCCGTTTTGCACTCGTGCTCATTTTAAAAATCTCACATTCCATCATTTCTTAGGGTAAATTTTGAACAAGGGACATTAGTAGATTTGTGTAAGCAGAGAAGACCCCTACTTAGGTAAATCAGTCCCGCTTCAGTGAACGTGGAAGAACTGAGTGAAAGAAAGCTGTGAGCGGCAAATGTAAAAAAAAAAAGAGAGAAAAAACAACGGACTTGGTGCCTCTCGTTCATAACATGTGGATTAGATAATTTTTCTGAGTGAAGAAATTTTGAACAAGAGGAGAGCGCGGTACTGCTACTTTTTACAGCAAAAAAAAAATCGACGGAGGCATATGTAGCGGCATGGATTGGGGAAACGGAAAACCGAATATGAATCCCAGTTGAGTTCAATACATTCCCTTATATACTGCTAGCCTTGGGAAAAGTATGAATTGATCTCTTCTTCCCCTGGTTAAAACAGTAAAACGGACTAGGTCCTCTAAGTCTAGTCTATGGGAAAGAAATATCTGAATTTTTCTGCCTAGGAAATTCCAGTGCTACTTCGAATTCAGTCCCTCAACGTCCATAATAGATTAGAAGATTGTGATGATGAAACGAAGAATTGGATTATTCTATGAATAAATAAGTTTTAATTACATCGTTATTTGTTGATTTTATAATTATCTCATATCTGTCTCGCAACCATTAACGGTCACCATGAACAGCATGCCCCGATTTCAAATTTCCACTTCGCCACTGATGCAAGTAGGGCTTCTCCTGTGGATGTGATAGTTGTGGATTTCCCCAATGTTAGTCGTTGGTTTTTTAAATAATAAAAAATAGAACTGTCTCGGA